CCCCCCAGCAGCCCAGGGAGACGCAGAGCAGCTTTTCTCACCACGGAGGATGCGGGCGGCGGGACCGCGGCGTGTCTGGGCCGTCCCGCCACCTGCGTCCTCCGCGGCGAGAAAAGCCCCGTTGGTATGTAGGGATCCGACATAAGTCGGATCCACATAACTCGGGGACTGCCTGTAGTTAGTCCAGGGGTATCACACTTTCTTGACAAAAGGACAAATAACAGTGTTACATGTAGTCAGTGGATTTTACCTGTGATTACTTTGTCTGGACTCTCAGCTTACATTTTGAAAGTCTGGTAAGCAATGTAAATGCAACAAATGGGAGCCTAAATCAGGGATGGGCAACCACAAACAGTGGGTGAGCCTCATGAGTGGCCATCCTTTACACTGTGGCGTCCCTTGTTGGGCCCCTTTCTTCTCCCTCCCTCCCCCCTCCCCCGACGTCCCTATCACACACTGGAGTCCCAGAGCCCCACACTTACCTGGTCCTCCGCCTTCCTCCCAGCACTTTCAGAGCATGTGATTCACTTGATTTGTGCTCCATCCCACTCCTCCCCTTCCATCCCAGTGCTAGAATACCACGAGTAGCAAATTTGCAGTGTTCCAGCTCTGGGAGGAAGGGAGAGGAGCAAGCATGGAGCAGTAATCTGCATCTCCTCTGAAAGTGCTGGGAGGGAGGGGGAGAGGCGTAGGAAGTGCCAGGCTGTGCCAGCGGCACACAGGAAAGAAACAGGCAGGGGGTCAGTGGGTTGCAGGTGGAGCCCCAGTGGGCTGTATACAGTCTGCAGGTTGCATATCACTGGCCTAAATGTAGGCACTTTTTAAAGTGGCCTCTCGTTCAGAAGTTGTATACATCCACAGTCTTGGCTTCAGTATGAGTTGGAGATGCGAAACTTAGGCGCTTTAATCTGTATTTAGGAATCTTACTGTTCCTAGTTTAGAGTTCGAAAAGGGGAAACTGCAACAATTATAGAAAATCTAATTTTGTTTACTTTTGGATGTATGTTCCACAATCTTCCACACTTTCATGTAGAATAAGCATGCTTCACAATTCTGTTCCTTTTTCTAATGCTGGGGGTTGTGCGCAGTGTTCCCTGTAAGCTGTGTGTGGCTGCTCAAAAACTTCATTTTTCCTCTTGTAGCTAGAAATTCGGAAGTTACTTGAATAGGCTTTCCATAAAATGCCAACAAGTTGGCAAGATGTAAATGTTTTTCAGGTGTATAAGTAATCTTGCAATCTGTGGCTCTAAAGTTATTTTGTACTTCTGTAAACGAGTCTTGTGTAAAGCAAGGAGGAATCTGAGATGCTTTCAGATTCTGCTTCATAAAAAGATTAAATGTTATGTCACATGCTAATAGTTAATTTGAAATAGTTAATTCAAATTAAAGTAATTTGAAATAACGCATCTATATACAAAACTATTTCGAAATAGCGTTTTGCTATTTCGAAATAGCGCATCCACACTGAGTGGACCCTGAACCGAAGTTAAGGCTGGCCAGAGTGAGTGCCGGCAGGGCATCAGGTTAGGACTTAGTGTGTGGGGCTGCTGCCTGAGGCAAACTGAGCTCTGTGCTTAAAGGGACCCTACCCCCATCCCAGACAGACAGTTCTCAGGGTTCTCTGCTTGCTTGTCTACCTCGATGAGGGACAGCAAAGCAGTCCTGTCTTGGAATGCCTTGACTGCCCATACTCGGGACACCACAACACTCGGCCAGATGGAGCCAGTTTTTTTTTTAGCTACAGACTAACACTACTACCCCTCTGAAACCTTTCAAGAGGTGATTCAGCTGCTTTTTAGGATATCCTCTGCCCCTTCCTTTCCCTCCCTTCTTTTGGTGGATGTGGGGAGAAAGAGCGTGCATGCAATGTTTTCCTCCGTAGTTGTTCATTTACACCATTTGAGTCATTTAAATGGAGTAGAATTTCAAATATTTGCTGATAAATTAACATTGTCATTTACACACAACTTACTGAGTGTTGCTACAGAGTGGCATTGTTTGACACTGCTAACTCTCCATTTTGAAACCTAGATGTACTAGTATTATTGATGTGCACTAGTATAATTGCATCTTTTGATACTTCGCACTTTTCAGTGATCTTCAGATAATCTTAATGATTATCAAGATTGTATGATTCTTAAAGGAATCACAGGTAATGATTGAAAGGCTTAGACCAGGGATGGGGAACCTCAGGCCCAGGAGCCACATGAGGCCCCCAGCTTGCCTGGATCTGGCCCTCGAAGCTCGGCGTTGGGGAGTCCATGATGGCATTCCAGCTCCCCTGTCACTCAACTGCAGGGCTAGAGCACACAAAATCCATTAGCCTGGGCCCTTTCACCCCAGGCTCTGGTGTGCAAGTGGAATGTGGGGCATCTTTCTTCTTCCCAGTCAGGGGTTCTCACTTGTATGTGGACCCTGACTGATTTTTTTTTTCCTGTGGATCAGCAGTGCCTGACCCAAAAAAGGTTCCCTGCCCCTGACTTAGACATTTGATTTAGAGTGGGAAGAGATTCTACCTGATGCATCTAGATATCTGGCTGACTGGTGTAATTTTACTTAGATTTTTATCTTTGATAAATATGCACAATATCATTGTTGATGTGCACAAAGTCTTTTTTATAGAGAGCTGTTATTCCAACCCAAATTGTACAAAAATGTTCTAATCAATACAACTTTTTCTGTTCTATAGATTCATTAATCAATTATTTACTGTTTAGATACAGGGCAAATTACCGTGTTACAGTAATTAAAATTGTTAACACAACCCCCCCAAAATTAGTTGCCTCATTTTAAAATAAGAAATGGAGGTGAGCAAAAGAAGTCAGAGAATAACTTTCTGAAAATAAATGATTGCTGGTACAGATTTTTCTACCTGGTAGGAGCTACAAGGGTTCAGATGCTTTCATTATGTCATGTTTGCGTGAAATGGCCATGGGGAGGTTGGTGCTAGATGGAAGGAGAATAAAGAGAAGGTGTATGTGGGAATTTGTCCATTGAGGACTTTATGAACAAGGGCATCAATTTGGAACTGTTCTGAAACAAATGGTTGAGCCAGTAGAATTGGTTGAGGATGATTTAGAACTGCAATTTGTACATTCATGTAAGTAGATAGCTAACAGCACTGAAAACTTGAACCAAGTTCTGGTAACAATCACTTTATTAGCTGTAGACAAATAACAGAGAAATAGGTGTTTTTATCTTTATTTCATAGAACTGATAAAATACAGAGCTGTAAATTGCTCCTTCAGAAAGACTTGCCACACTGGTTTTCTAAAATAGCAGAACACTGTGTAAAACAAACACCTGACAACTTGTGTTGGAGAATACTGATTGCATTCAAATTATTTTCAAAAGTCCCAGAGGTTAGAATATAGCCCTCTGAATATCCTCATCAACAAGATTTACAAAAGCAAGCATCTGCTTTGTGCAGGTGATACATCCTGGTGTGAGCCAGTCATTAAGTTTACAGCTGAAGTTGAGAGTCAGAAAAAATAAAATAAAATCCTTTGTTACTTAGAAATAGTACATTTAAGTTGTTCATAATAGCAAATGTGTTTGGATTGAAAGAACCTGACTTGGTGTATCTGAATCTTGTGGAAACTCAAATAGTGAGTTTACAATAAATCAAATTGACAAATCTTTGGTTCTTAATTACAATGCATGTTTTGCAGTACATACTATATAGTCTTAAGTATTTTAATTTTTTTTGTCAAGATAAGTCTAACATGGAGAAACAATAATATTTCAAAATATACTATTTCATCATTATACAAGAAGTCTAGGGAAGAATATTTTATGTGTGAGGCAAACTCCTTTTATCAGTAAGTTAGGTTTTTGAACAAATTTAACTAGTCAGAACAAAAATTATTTAATTTCTTTTTTTAAAAGATTTTCAATTATCACTTTTTTTTCTTCTGTTGCAGATAAGTATGTGCCTTTCATTGAGAAAAAATAATCTTAGATCAACAGAAAAAAGAAGATCATGCCGGAGGAATAAGAAGCCAATATATCTTGGGGGTATTTAAATGGTGTATATTATGGTATACTTTGTTGCAATAAGTACTGTAACAATTTGTTATACCTCTTTGTATATACAAAAAATACTCTAAATTCAGAGCCTATGGGAGGGGTGTGCAGTAAAACTCAAACTCAAAACAATTTGAAAAGTACGATTCCCTTTTAAAACAGTATTTTGCTGCTTGTTTTAATACCCTATTGGTGTATATGGTATTCACTTTTCTATACCAGTCTGGAGTATGTTCACTTATTTTTGCCAACGTAATATTTTATGTCAGCATAAACATTTTATTTGTGTGTGGATTCTGTAGTATGGCTAGATTTTCTGTAGGTTAGTTGAGATTCTTTTCCTGTCTTGAAAGAGCTGTGCCAAACTACTGTCTTTTTTTTTTTGTTTTGATTTTTTTAACTAGATTAATAAGTTACTGTTTGTAAACATTATTTAAAACTGCCTAAGTGCACCAATAAAAATGTTTACAATATTCCTAACATTGTGTAAGAAACTATTTTTGTAGGTTTTAAAGGTGCCTTTGATAGGATCTTATGAAATATGATTATGTTATGGCCATTCTAGTCAACCAGTTATAACTAGTAGTTCCATCGGTTTCTCTAACACATGCAGTCACACGGATGTAAACAGAGAGGAAAATCTATCTCCCCAGTCCAATTTTTCAGGTAATGTAAATCTGTATCGCTACATTAACATCAGTGAAGCTACTCTTAACTTCTACCAGTTGAAGATCTGGTCCTTAATGTTCAAATCTTCCAAAAAAAGTCAAGTAGGAAGCCTTCATTTAATCCTTAATCAGTTTCCTTAAGATATTGCAAGATAATGGCTGATGCAGGACTCAATAAGGAAAGAGTTAAAGGAGGGTAATATAACTAATGGCAATCAACATGAGTTTATGAAAAAAGATGCTGTCAGACTAAATTGATAATGTCTATCAGATTACAAGTTTGGTTGACAAAATTAATAGTCAATTGCTGTAATATACTTAGATTTCTGTAAGGAGTTCTACTTGATACTGTATGATATTTTTATTTTTAAAACCCCCTAGAATAATATAAATTAACACGTTACATGGATTAAAAATTGGCTATCTGATACACTTTGAAATGAAATTGTAAATGGGGAATCAGCAATGAATGGGCATGTTTCTAGTTAGGTCCATAGGGATTGGTTCTTGGCTTTATACCACTTAACTTTACCAGTGACCTGGAAGAAAGCACAATTATCACTGAAGGGTCACAGATGACACACAAATTAGGGGAGTGGTAAATAATGAAGAAAACAGATCATTGATACAGAGCAATCTGGATCAGTTGGTAAGCTGGGCACAAACAAATATGCATTTTAATAGGTATAAATGTTTACATCTAGGAACAAAGAAGGGAAGCCATACTTACAAGATGTGGGACTGAATCCTGGGAAACAATGACTTTGGGGTTGTGATGATGATCAGCTAAATAAGAGCACCACTGTGGCAAAAGGGCAACTATGATCCTTCAGTGCATAAAAGGGGGAATTTGAAGTAGGAGTAGAGAGTATATTTTATTTCTGTGTTTGTCACTTGTGTGACTGCTGCTGGAACACTGTCCAGTTCTGGTGTCAACAATTCAAGACAGATGTTAAACTGAAGAGTGTTCAGAGAAGAGCCATGAGAGGGAAGGATTAGAACACATGCCTTCTAAAAGATGCATGAAGACGTTCAGTCTGTTTAGCTTAACAGAGAGCTGATTTGATTAGTCTGTAAGTCTCTGCATGAGAGCAAATATTTAATAATGGGCTGTGCTGTCTAGCAGAGAAAGGTATAACACAATTCAGTGGCTGTAAGCTGAAACCAGACAAGTAAGATGAGTACATTTTTATCAGTGAGAGGAAGTAAGTGTTAGAATTTACCAAGGGTCATGATGGGAGCCAACTCTAATTATAAGGTAGTTTAAGTTTCACACATGTTCAGTCTCTTGTATTTCTGCCAAGATTATCAAAAAGGGTGCCAATATGGTTTTGATGGGTTTCTCTTGTTTACAAAATGAATATATTGCCTGCAAATATGCTGGGAAGGCTTAGATTTTAATTTGTAAATGACAGTACAGATTTTATTGTGCATACACAAATTAAACATTTCCATTGATAAATGAAATGTATGAATAGACAAAGTAAGAAAAATGCTGCTTGAAAACTTTAAAGTTTGATTTAAGGGTATTTCTTTTATATATGTTGACATGTGATGTTCATACTTAGTGTGTTAATGGTTGTAAAGCATAAACTTTTTGAATCTCAACATCTGTCATCTCTGACAATCCAATAATTTCCCGCAACTGTGAGCAATTATTTTTGCTGACCCATAATGTTGTGCAACTATGAAAATTTAAATCTCTGAAAATAAGAAAATATGCTTAAAATAAACATTGATACTGTCTACTGAGCATTTTTAAAATAATCAAAATCAAATTGTGCCAAACCTACTTACAATGAACTAGTCTGGGATAGTCAGGTTCAGTCCAGATAAAACCCCAAACACTCATCAGATAGCACTTTTATTGCCAGCTGGTCTTGATTTTAACTGATGACTTAGACATGAAAGGCTTTATATTTCATTATCAAACCCCAATGCCAAATCTGTCCACACATCTATACAGGCAGTGGCATCACAGGACCTAACCACAGAAACCACCACATCAGAGGCTCTAATAACTGCATATCCACCAAGTGATCTATGCCATCAAGTGCCAGCAATGCTCCCCTGCCATGTATACTGGCCAAACTGGATAGTCTCTGAGAGAGAATTAATGGATACAAATCAGATATCTGAAAAGTCAACACACAGAAATCTACCTGTTGAACATTTGAACTTGCGTGGGCACTCAGTAATGGATCTCAAAGTCACTATATTATTTCAAAAGCCAGCTCAACAGGGAAACTACAGAACTTCATTTCATTTACAAGTTTGATTCCTACAACAGAAGTCTAAACAAGATATTGGCTGGATGGCCCGCTACATTCCACATCCTAATGACATTAAGAAAAACCAAAGGGTACTTAAAGTGGGTACTAAATATTCTTATCAGCTTCATTTAGCATAGACATTCTAATTGACAATTTCTTTCCCCTTATTTACTACTTTTTCCTCTTCTCTCCCCTCTTCACATCCCTTCTCTTTGCTATTTATTTGAAAACTGGACCCACCCCTTAAACTCCAGTCATCTGAAGAGGGTTGTGCCCACGAAAGCTCATGATACCATCTACATTTTTTGTTAGTGTCTAAGGTGCTGCATTATTCTTCATAGTTACTAATCATGGTGTTCTCTTGTCCTATTTTATGTGGACTTATGTTAGCATTTTTTTCTGCTTCTTTACATTTGATTTGAATAACAATGTTTTGTTCGTTCAAAATAGACTGTTTTTTAGTTTGTACTCATTTCTGATCTGAAATAAAAACTTCTTAAACAGAAGCAGTCCTTCCATCTGGAACTGATTATTGGGCAACTACACCATAGTCTCTTAAGGAAGCAGCACAGAGAAGAAAAGTTCTGACAATCAGTTATGCACTCTCTGCGCTAACAATATAAAGATACACTGAACTCAAACCTGAAAGCATGTCAGTATACACACACAATGTTAAAAAAAGTTAAGATTAAAAAACCAGTCACTCAGTCACTTTGAAAAGTAAGCTCTGTAGTCAGTTTATATCTGATGCAGAAGCTTGACCTGCTGTTATGAGCCCTGCATCCTCCCATGTACCAGACATGACAGTTTGTGCAACCTTACCTTAGCCACCTTGTGCATATGCATGATGATGTAGCATAATAGAACTGTTGGAGTTAGAGATTTGCATGATCTCTTACCCCATGGATCGATGTCTCCGCAGAGAATGTTGGAAGAACCAGGCAAAGCCCTGCCCCTCAATGACCATAAGAACTTGATTTTGCAGAGCCTGGGGCAGCTGATTTTCCTACAGTGCCACCAGGAGCCCACACAGAGGCACAGCCAGCAAGTACTGGGGAGAGTAGACACAGGCACAAACAAATATGCATTTTAATAGGTATAAATGTTTACATCTAGGAACAAAGAAGGGAAGCCATACTTACAAGATGTGGGACTGAATCCTGGGAAACAATGACTTTGGGGTTGTGATGATGATCAGCTAAATAAGAGCACCACTGTGGCAAAAGGGCAACTATGATCCTTCAGTGCATAAAAGGGGGAATTTGAAGTAGGAGTAGAGAGTATATTTTATTTCTGTGTTTGTCACTTGTGTGACTGCTGCTGGAACACTGTCCAGTTCTGGTGTCAACAATTCAAGACAGATGTTAAACTGAAGAGTGTTCAGAGAAGAGCCATGAGAGGGAAGGATTAGAACACATGCCTTCTAAAAGATGCATGAAGACGTTCAGTCTGTTTAGCTTAACAGAGAGCTGATTTGATTAGTCTGTAAGTCTCTGCATGAGAGCAAATATTTAATAATGGGCTGTGCTGTCTAGCAGAGAAAGGTATAACACAATTCAGTGGCTGTAAGCTGAAACCAGACAAGTAAGATGAGTACATTTTTATCAGTGAGAGGAAGTAAGTGTTAGAATTTACCAAGGGTCATGATGGGAGCCAACTCTAATTATAAGGTAGTTTAAGTTTCACACATGTTCAGTCTCTTGTATTTCTGCCAAGATTATCAAAAAGGGTGCCAATATGGTTTTGATGGGTTTCTCTTGTTTACAAAATGAATATATTGCCTGCAAATATGCTGGGAAGGCTTAGATTTTAATTTGTAAATGACAGTACAGATTTTATTGTGCATACACAAATTAAACATTTCCATTGATAAATGAAATGTATGAATAGACAAAGTAAGAAAAATGCTGCTTGAAAACTTTAAAGTTTGATTTAAGGGTATTTCTTTTATATATGTTGACATGTGATGTTCATACTTAGTGTGTTAATGGTTGTAAAGCATAAACTTTTTGAATCTCAACATCTGTCATCTCTGACAATCCAATAATTTCCCGCAACTGTGAGCAATTATTTTTGCTGACCCATAATGTTGTGCAACTATGAAAATTTAAATCTCTGAAAATAAGAAAATATGCTTAAAATAAACATTGATACTGTCTACTGAGCATTTTTAAAATAATCAAAATCAAATTGTGCCAAACCTACTTACAATGAACTAGTCTGGGATAGTCAGGTTCAGTCCAGATAAAACCCCAAACACTCATCAGATAGCACTTTTATTGCCAGCTGGTCTTGATTTTAACTGATGACTTAGACATGAAAGGCTTTATATTTCATTATCAAACCCCAATGCCAAATCTGTCCACACATCTATACAGGCAGTGGCATCACAGGACCTAACCACAGAAACCACCACATCAGAGGCTCTAATAACTGCATATCCACCAAGTGATCTATGCCATCAAGTGCCAGCAATGCTCCCCTGCCATGTATACTGGCCAAACTGGATAGTCTCTGAGAGAGAATTAATGGATACAAATCAGATATCTGAAAAGTCAACACACAGAAATCTACCTGTTGAACATTTGAACTTGCGTGGGCACTCAGTAATGGATCTCAAAGTCACTATATTATTTCAAAAGCCAGCTCAACAGGGAAACTACAGAACTTCATTTCATTTACAAGTTTGATTCCTACAACAGAAGTCTAAACAAGATATTGGCTGGATGGCCCGCTACATTCCACATCCTAATGACATTAAGAAAAACCAAAGGGTACTTAAAGTGGGTACTAAATATTCTTATCAGCTTCATTTAGCATAGACATTCTAATTGACAATTTCTTTCCCCTTATTTACTACTTTTTCCTCTTCTCTCCCCTCTTCACATCCCTTCTCTTTGCTATTTATTTGAAAACTGGACCCACCCCTTAAACTCCAGTCATCTGAAGAGGGTTGTGCCCACGAAAGCTCATGATACCATCTACATTTTTTGTTAGTGTCTAAGGTGCTGCATTATTCTTCATAGTTACTAATCATGGTGTTCTCTTGTCCTATTTTATGTGGACTTATGTTAGCATTTTTTTCTGCTTCTTTACATTTGATTTGAATAACAATGTTTTGTTCGTTCAAAATAGACTGTTTTTTAGTTTGTACTCATTTCTGATCTGAAATAAAAACTTCTTAAACAGAAGCAGTCCTTCCATCTGGAACTGATTATTGGGCAACTACACCATAGTCTCTTAAGGAAGCAGCACAGAGAAGAAAAGTTCTGACAATCAGTTATGCACTCTCTGCGCTAACAATATAAAGATACACTGAACTCAAACCTGAAAGCATGTCAGTATACACACACAATGTTAAAAAAAGTTAAGATTAAAAAACCAGTCACTCAGTCACTTTGAAAAGTAAGCTCTGTAGTCAGTTTATATCTGATGCAGAAGCTTGACCTGCTGTTATGAGCCCTGCATCCTCCCATGTACCAGACATGACAGTTTGTGCAACCTTACCTTAGCCACCTTGTGCATATGCATGATGATGTAGCATAATAGAACTGTTGGAGTTAGAGATTTGCATGATCTCTTACCCCATGGATCGATGTCTCCGCAGAGAATGTTGGAAGAACCAGGCAAAGCCCTGCCCCTCAATGACCATAAGAACTTGATTTTGCAGAGCCTGGGGCAGCTGATTTTCCTACAGTGCCACCAGGAGCCCACACAGAGGCACAGCCAGCAAGTACTGGGGAGAGTAGACACAGCAGCAAGTACCCAAACCCAGAGTGAAAATACCTGCCACCCTCTAATTGGCGAAGTGCCCTTTCATAACCCTAAGACTTGCCCCAGGAAGTTGTCTGGGCAACCAGGAAGTTGTCTGGGCAACCAGACAGACCTTGGCCTTACCTCATCTCCTGATCTCTGGTTTCTTTCTCTATCCTCTTTGACCCTGATTCTTGTCTCTCAAGTTTAACCCATTACTGCCTCTGATCTTTTGTTTCCAACTTCAATCCCAGCCTGACTGGCCTTGACTCTTGCTTATAGGATCTGGCCTTGTCATTCCTTCAACTCTGGCCTGCTGACTCTACCCCCCCAACCAGAACCATCCCAGGCAGGGCCATCTTCAACAGTATTTGTACATGCTCATGCTTCATGCCATCCACTTGTTTGCCCTCCACTTGAACATGCTCATGCTTCATGCCATCCACTTGTATTTCCACAGCTAGTAGTTGGCAGCTGCTCCATGGTTTGTGTCTGGCATGGTTCATGAAGCCCCCTGACTCCTGACCCATTTGGATCAAGAGAGAGGCCCTGTTGCACATTGAAGTAGTGTGCTTCAAAGCCCTTTGTCTCCTTCTAAGCCTATTACCGAGATTCTGGCTGCATTTTTTCTCTCTTCTGTTTATCCTAGCACACTCCCATCCATGGTCTCACAACGTCACGACTGTCTCGACCTTTTCCTAGCATGGGCCAACATGGCTG